TAAAAAAAAAAAGAAAAAAAAAAGAAACAGCAAGTGTTGTGAGGCTAAATTCACACAAGGCCTGAGGCCTAGGAGTTACCCAGTGAAATTGTGGTTAGGCCTTCTCTGCTCTTTCTCCCTCCCACTCTTTTCAACATTTGAAGGGATTAGAAGAATGTTTCCTCTCATAAAAATAATGTTAATAGCTACAACTTATTAAATGACCACCATCTGCCATTCACTATATTAAGCACTTTTATCATCTCCAATTTTCACAGCTTTCCCCGTAGAAGAGAAATAAGATTCAGGAATGTGCTCTTTTGTTTACACAAGACCACAAACTTCTAACCTATGCTAGTGATTACAGCTGGAGGGAGGAAAGGAGGAGTTAGCTAAACTGCAGTCATTAATCGCAATATAAAATTGGGATCCAAGCCCAACATACCCGACTTCACTAACCCATGCTGCCACTTAAATTGTCTGGCTTTGAAAAACCAAGAAATGAGAACTAAATGTTTTACCTCCAGAGTGATACAAAAATTTATTAATCATCCAATGAACACTAAACTTATATATAGTATTGTCATATTCTAATTTCATGTAATCAACTGTTATTTACTATTTTTTTCAGGGAGAGCATGAATATAAATAATAAAAATAAAGAATAAAGTAATTATCAAAAGTTAATGTTTTAAATGTTAATTATGATCCCCTTATAGTATTGTGTTAGGGGCTAATTAAATTATCAAAATGCTTTATAAATATTAACTTCTAATAAATAATTCATCCAAAACATGGTTGAAAATGAACTACTCATGATGTGAATTGCAAGGATTTCTTCTCACCACTGAATTGCATTTAGCTTTCCTGGAAGAAATTTCCTAGAATAGTTCACAACATTTTGTTCAGAGGACACAGTTGTTTACAGCAGTTTTGTTATTCATTCCCAGGAAACATGTCCAGGAAGCAGAAATCAAATCTCATTTAAAATCTTTGTGTCTGGGGTTGTAGCTACTAAAATTTATTCTGATAAAAAAAGGACCTGAAATCCGAGGGAAAAAATGAATATTATATTTTCTATTATTTTTAATCTTATTAGTATTCATCTTCTTATACTAGAAGCATGTGGCAATTTAGTTTCCTATCATGTGCCAAGAGTTACACAAACAAAAGAATTATAAAATTTTGATTTTAGAGAATTTTTATAACTAAACCAATTTTTAATTTCATTTTCTAAAACATTGAGGACTACACTTGGCTACTACTTGTGTTACACAATACAATACAATGATTCTATTCATACAACCACAACTCAAGCAATTCGAGTCAATAGAAATGCATTAAAATCACATTCTAGGCACCTCTGAGCTCTAAAGGAAAGGATGGTAAGGTTCTAAAAGAGACACGCAGCCACTAAGAAAGAGAGAAGAGCAGTGGAGTAAGGTAGAGCATCACGTCTTCACAATATGGGAGGGCTTCACTCCAACTGAGGACACACGTCATGGAAGAGTTGAAGAAACCAACACAGAACCTATGCAACGGCGATATCCCAGGTCTGTACTGGCAGGCAGTGCTTTATCGAACCTGTAACAGTTGATAGGTCATACACAAGTTTGCTTAGTTACAAGAGTTCATGCTTTTTCATACATCACTATGATATAGATGGTTCTAAATGCTAGATATAAAGTACAAACCTTCTTCCAAAATACTAAAATTTTGTAGGCTCATAAGGCAAAATTTGGGCTGGGCATGATGATGCACACCTCTAACCATGGCACTCAGGAAGCTGGGGTAGGCAGCTATGAGTTCAAGGCGAACCTGCACCACACAGAGAGTTCCAGGATGACCAGGGCTACATACTGAGATACTGCCTCAAAAAAGAGTTTTGAAACAATAAGACACTTAAGGAAATGCTCAACATCCTTAGCCATCATAGAAATGCAAGAATAGAAATGCATTCTTACACCTGTCAGAATGGCCAAGATCTAAAACACTGATGAGAACTTAGGCTGGAGAGGATGTGGGGTAAAGGGAACACTCATGCATTGCTGGTGGGAGTGCAAGCTGGTACAGCCTCTTTGGATATCAGTAGGGCGATTTCTCAGAAAATTAGGAAACAATCTTCCTCAAGACCCAGCAATACCAGTTTTGAGTATGTACCCAAAGGATGCTCAATTGTACCACAAAGACATGTGCTCAACTATGTTTATAGCAGCATTGTTTGTCATAGTCAGAACCTGGAAACAATCTAAATGCCCCTTGACTGAAGAATGGATAAGGAAAATGTGGTACATTTACACAATGGAATAAAATTACGCAGCGGGGGAAAAAAATGACATCTTGAAACTTGTGGGCAAATGGATAGATCTAGAAAACATTACATTGAGTGAGGTAACCTAGACCCAGAAAGATGAATATAATATGTACTCACTCATAAGTGGCTTTTAGACATAAAGCAAAGAAAAACAAGCCTACAATTCACAATTCCAGAGAACCTAAACAACAATGAGAACCCTAAGAGAGACATACATGGATCTAATCTACATGGGAAGAAGAAAAAGACAAGATCTCCTGAGTAAAATGGGAGCATGGGGATCATGGAAGAGGGTAGAAGGAGAGGGGAGAAGGAGGGGAGCAGAGAAAAAAATATATAGCTCAATAAAAACAACTTTTAAAAAGAATAAAAAACAAATTCATACATTTTTTTTTTTTGAGACAGGGTTTCTCTGTGGTTTTGGAGCCTGTCCTGGAACTAGCTCTTGTAGACCAGGCTGGTCTCGAACTCACAGAGATCCACACATTTTAAATACAAATCCAAAGCACTCCGTAGAACTGGCCAGACCGCTGGTAACAGCTGACAATCATGAGCCTTCCCTCTGTCACAGGGATCCTGGCGTCACTATCTTCCTCAGCCAAGTCATGGAGACTGAAGAATAAGCCTGAGGAATTAGCAATGTGCAGCTTGGATGGTGTTGTACACCGCTTCCTCTGCCTCAGAAGCTTTCCTTATCCTGTTTCCACATGGGACTCACCCTCTCTAACCTCTAAATCCCAGTCCCCACACACACCCTCATGGGAACGAAGGGTTCTTGACCTCAGTTCTGTCCTTAGGCTCTCCTAAACCCGTCACGGAGCACTAGAAACCACCCACTTGAGCTTTTCTCCGTAAAAAGGAAGTCTTTTTCCAGGCAGGGATTATTCTTGTTCATCCACTAACATGGCAGTGTGATAGCCTAAGTGCTAATTATGAATTAAAATAAACTATTACCTTTTAAAAAATGATTTGGAGATACAGTGATATGGATGAAATTAGTTAAGATGGAATCACACTCGGATAGGGTGAGCCCCTAATCCATTATGACAAGTCATCAGAAGAAGGTGACCCTGACTATCTGAGAAAAGGAAGGAGATCAGTGGGTGTGGAAAGAGGAATAAGAGATGTTGATGTGGGGTGAATGTGATCAAAATACACTATATACAAATATTAAAGTGTCATAAAGAAACTCCACTATATATAATTTAATGTGTGCTGTAGCCCGATTAATAAAATCTCAAGAGACAGATATGGGGGTTCAACCTGAAGACCAGAAAGGCAAAGCAGCCAACCACTGGCTCTTACCTCGACCTCAGTCTGAAAATGGTGATCCTGCCTCCAGGAATCCTCAGAACGAGACTGAGACTAAGAATTGTCTCCTTCTGTTTTATAATCCTCTCTAGTTCTAGGATTAAGAGTATGCACCACTACCATCTGGTTTCCATGGCAAAATAGTATGGCTCCTGGGATTAAAGGTGTGTGTCATTGCTGCCTGATCTGTAAGGCTGGCCAGTGTGGCTGTTTTACTTTTCTGATCCTTAGGCAAGCTTTATTTATTAAAATACAAATGAAATGCCACTACAGTGTGTTAATTAAAACTTTAAGATGGGCATAGTAAACAAGACTTTTTGAGGCTGCTTCTTCCACAATAGGATATACTATTTTATGATTAAATTTTTTTGTAAGTAGAACATTTTAATAATAATAAATAAGCACAACTCCCTCCCCAAATGTGACTTTGAGACATAAGGGAGAACGGCACTTGACAGCAAAGGCAGAGACTCTAGTTCTATAAGCCAAGGAACAGCATAGATAGCCAGCAGACCACCAGACCATAGGAAGAGGCATTTCAGAGGAAGCATGGCCTTGCATACTCCTTGGATCTGGACAACTCGCCTCCAAAACTGAAAGAAAAGATGTTGTTTTAAAAAATGTATATTACTTTGAAATAGAAGCCCAAGCGCAGTGCATAATACATTTGGATGGACAGATTGACTTGGGATTTTCCCATCTCTGAAAAACGTGTTTTATTCTTACTTTGTATTTCTTTCTTTTAGTCTTGTACTAAACAGAATGTTCTTTCACTGAGTTTGTCTGATCTTTAGTTTATATATCGATATATCTTCATGCCTGCGATAAGTTTTATGCTTATGAAAACTCACCTAGTGTATGAAATCTGATAGCCAAGAAAGAAAAGGGAGAGATACAGGGAAAGCTTTGTTATTAAGTACAAGTTCTAAGGCCAGCACTCTTTCGTTGTAAGCTTGGGTGAGATGTGATCTCTAGGTTTACTGATCATATATCTACCTACCATTTAGGGTCACTTTCCTTCCGTGGCCAATAGCTAAGATTTTGTCATCAGATCTGTCATTGAACTGCTTGAGTAAATTGTTTATCCTAACTCTGCCCCAGTTTCCCCCACCTGTCAAATGGAAGAGGAAATGTCAAATTCCTGAATTATTAAAATCATAATTAAGTATTTTAAGATCTTAGGCTAGCTTACATGATAAGGGCTAAATAGAAGTTAGTTGTTATGAGCAAAACCTGTATGTTTAAAATCAAAACCAAATTATTCTGTATAGATCTATTGTGGAAATCACATTTTAACATCCCACTAATGCCAAAAGAAAAGGAAAATTTTCACCTTCGCAGATACAGGCTTTACTATTGTGTCAAAAGGCTCACTCTTTTTTTCTTCTTCAAATAGGCCAAAAAGAGAGATGAGATTCTCCAACTCTTAAGGAAACAAAGAGAAGAGAGAATTTCGGTAAGAACAGTGGTGGGGCACTGGATGGCTGACTGAAGGCATGCATGATCTGTGGCAAATGTTCAGAGGTTCTTCTGACCCTTTAAATCTATACTCTCATGTTCTGAGTCTTCTATGCACCAAAGGCTGGGAAAACAGAAATTAAATAACTGGACAACCCATAAACCAGAGACAACTCCAAAATTTGTAACTCTGATGGCAGAAGAAACAAGGTGTATAGGTCAGGGAGTCTATTTGATGTGGGGTTTCCCCTCTGTATGCTATGAATATGTTTTATTATCATTGTAAATAAAGAAGCTGCTTTGGCCTATGGAAGGGCAGAATAGAGCTAGGCAGGAAAAACCAAACTGAATGCAGGGAGAAAGGAGGTGGAGTCAGGGAGACACCATGTAGCAGCCGAAGGAGAAAGACGCCGGAGCCTTACCAGGAGGCCATAGTCTTGTGATGACACATAGATTAATAGAAATGGGTAATTTAAGAGCTAGCTAGGAATATGCCTAAGCCATTGGCCAAACAGTGTTGTAATTAGTATAGTTTTCGTGTGATTATTTGGGTCTGGACAGTCAGGAAATGAACGTGAAGTCTCCAATCACATCTATTGTTCACATATTATAAAGTTGTAGTCTATTAATATTGACTACTTCATTGCTAATGACTTTACAATGATTGATCTTTGTAGACCACAAAAAATTACAACTTAAGTGATTCAAACTTTTATAAAAAATAACTCACTAGAAATATAGGGATATTCAAACACAAATTTTTGAATGTGCCTCAAATTCTGTAATCAGAACATCTTTAACTCAATGGTTTTCAAATGTAAGAAGCTTGTCTTTCTAAACTCTGAAGATTTTCACCTTAGACAGTTTTCAAGTGAATACATTTCAGACAGAGGAAGTAAGTGCTGGGCCAAGATTATCTCAGGACCTGTACCTTGAGGCCTGTAGGACAGAGAAAAGCCTAGCTCAAGTTTGAGGGATAGTCTCAAAGGTACCAAGGATGAGACAGCAAAATCTATGTAGACATCCCTCCAGCCAGAGTGAGGGCTTGGCTGTTTCTCATTGGCTAGAGGTATCCCCACATCACATGATGTCATGTAACCTATATAAGCTGATGCTCACAGATATAAACTGAGTTCCTGCTTTGACTTGACTCCCTATCACGTCTGATTGTCCTGCACAGTGGGGCTACAGAACAAGCAGATAGCGCACTCACCTTTCCCTGGGGAATAAGGCTAAAGAGACCTGGCGGTAAGCATTTTCTCGTTTTATTTTTTTTTTCTAGAAAGAACTGATTTCATTACCTTATAAGCCTAAGGCCAAAGTACCTGAAGCAAAGTAAGTTTACTTCCAAAAATCCTCATCTTTTTATTTACTGTCTTTAAAGAACATTTTTATTTGTCTCCTACCAACAAATCTAAAAACCCTATGCCACTGTGTTGGAGTTTCTTGCCTTAAATAGACACACTTGTAACTGTGCTCAAGCCTGTGCACATCTGTGGGATATGCACAAGTGTGTTTGCACAGTGGAGAGCAGGTACTGGAGCCTCTGCGTGCCTCACTGTCCCTTCTCACCCGTCTTCACGCCCTCCCAGCTCCACCTCCCCATGAGCAGCCTGCCATCATCAGTGCATCCTCAGACCTCACGATAACCAGCTCTGATCCCACCAGTGCCGTGGCTACACCAGCCTGTAGGTGACAGAATGTTAGAATTGTCAGCAAATAGCCTTAAGGAAGAAGGATTCTGTCTACATAGATTTTTTTAAAAATATCACTAATTACCTCTCTATTTTCTACATTACGCCTCATATCTTTGTTTCTTACTTTCAAGCAAGATGATCTGACTTACTGCCTGTGAGGGGAGGAAGGCAGCCTAAAGGAAAGACTTAACTGGCCCAGATGGTGGACGAAGGCTGCTTCATGAATGGCACAGACATGGCTGGGTGCCTTAGAATATGCTGCACTTTTTCAGAATATTGTGTTACTGTCCTTGTTTATTTGCATATACAAGTGCATTATTTTACAACTTTAACCTAATTTTTGGTGAATAAATGAGTTTGGTGGGATCATTTGCTAGAGCAGGGATGATTCAGAAGCAGCTTTATCAATGAAAATTAAGTCCCACCCTGAATAAGTTTTATACCTCTTACAGAATTTAACATTTGGGCATGAGGAAGTATCATATGGAACCCCAGAGAGGTTTTTGTAAGGGTCTCTTGTGACCCCCTTCCCTCTAGAAGTGAATGCTGACAGTCCCATTATCATAGACATAACTATCTATTGTGTCGATTATTCCATTGATTCAAGGTCAAGGTTAAAATGATTATTTTAAATTTTAAGTTCTTAATTTCTTTTGTAATATATTCTCTCCTTAATCCCAAAGCTTGAGTTTCTTTCCATTTCACAGTGACATCTTCCTCAGCACTTAAAGATCATCCTTTTGACAATCACACACTACTATGTGTCCATATTTTATAATTAGCTCACTACTCTTAAGTTATTTAATAGTTCACATAATTTTATGCCTTGTCTATAAATATATTATAGGTTCCCTGAGAAACTGGATCACCCAACTTAAGTCAATCTTGGGATTCAGAATATGTTTGTCTTAAAAATCTGAAATAGCATGTTATTAAGCATTAGCTAATTTGGAAATTGATGCCTCTATACTGTACACTAAGTTATACAAACATTTCTTAAATTCTTAAATATTATTTCCTTCATCTTGTCCACTCAGCCTCAAATTCCTACACACAGTGATGCAGGCTAAAATCCTTCCTCAATAGACCTTCTCAGGATAATCTGTGCCCTTTCCAGCAGAAAGTAAATTCATAGTGATGCTTTAAAAGTGATACATTTAGCATTTGCCCCAGTAATATTTGCATTTTCAAGGGTAACTGAGTCAGTTAGGGTAGGAGGCTATGGCCTCCTTCACAGCACACTTCTCAGGAAGATAATCATTTTTCTCACAGCTGTTCCGCACTTGGTCACAAGCCTTAATACACATTCAGAATCCACAGTGGTGCCTACTGGGGACATTTTCAAAAGTCATTTCCCTACTACATCGTGATCATGATGACTGATGCTATTATATGAGAACTGACTCTTTCTGTTGCCTACAGGGAAGTCTCATCAGAATCAGACAAACAGGACCAAGAAGAAGTCAAAGCCTTGCAATGATCTGATTGACATATTGTAGCAGGTGACTGACAAGTATTCACCTTTGAAGCAAGTTATGCTTACATCAGGATCACCAAGTAAAAAGTGTGCAGATTTCCAGGAATTTGACAATTACTGAGCATTCATGTTAAAATATACTAAAATAAAAGTTAAGAATGTAGACAGGTTGATTTTGTCAGTCATTGAACATTTGTGTCTATTTTATTTATTTGTTTTACGTCATACTATAATCACCTTTGTCATCTTACACATCCCAAACTCCTACTTTTTGTTTTATTTGAAGGGTATTTGTAGAATGTATATATTTTATTTGTATTAGGAATACTCAATAAATAAGATTAAGGGGCTCTATATGCCCCCCGAGTCTACTATAAGCAAAATAATAAAACAAGGATGAAAAGGCATTCTTAAAAACCTAAAGACTTCTCTTAAAAATATCTCTTTCCCAGCCAGGCGGTGGTAGTGCACATTTTTAATCCCAGCACTTGGGAGGCAGAGGCAGGCAGATCTCTGTGAGTTCAAGGCCAGCCTGCTCTACAAGAGCTAGTTCCAGGACAGGCCCCAAAGCTACAGAGAAACCCTGTCTTGAAAAACAAAACAAATACAAAAACAAAAAATATCCCTTTCCAAAAGTATGGCTTATTCCATTTCTAGAACAGGCCTGAAACCAGGACTGAACTGCCATCTTATAGATAGGTGTATAACTCTACTGCCAATCCACCTCACTCAAAGCCTACTCCCTTTGGTATATATTGGAAACAGAAGGTTAAGGATCTGTCCCTCGGCACTGTCGAAAAGCAAAGGTATCCTATCATGCTGAAATATTTATCAGACAGGTGGCTCTCATGAAGACTGACAGAGAAGACTGTCACAGCCTAAAGTTTAAGATCATATAACTAATAACCTTTGCTCTGATTCAATGTTCACGGGGGTTATTCCCTGCCTAAAGGAAGACAATACACTTCACAGGCCAAGCACTGGTTTACTCTAGGTTTACAGTTCTCAGTATATAAACATATTATATGTTAAGCAGCCATCATCCAAAAGCCTGAAATCAGAAATCCAAAAATTTTTTCTAGTACTGGTATGACACCACAAAGAGAAAATTCTGTACCTGGCCTCATATGGACACATTAAAAGTACAGCAGAAGGTGCTCTTCACACAAGCATGAGAAGCTATGTTTGGATTCCCAGCACCTGTAATGCCGGACTTGGTGGCAGGGACTGGAGGACCTGTAGGGGTGGCGCATCTCTCATTGGCCTACTAGTCTACTGGTGAGCATGGAGTGTAAACTACGTGCAAAATAAGCAGTGGAGGAAGACATCCAGTGTCAACGTCTTTATATTGCAGAACATTATCTTCAGACTATGTATAGAAGATGTATAGGAAACAAGTTTGCCTTTGACATTGTGTACTATCACCAAAACGTGTGTGTGTGTGTGTGTGTGCGTGTGAACATTCCAAAACGCAAAACACTCTTAGACCAAGCATTTTAATTGGTGGTCTCTACTTTGAGCTCATCAAGTTGAGAAATGGATCTTGGGTCAAAGAAATTTTACCAAGAAAAATTACACACTGTCTGCCATGCAGTGGTGGCACATGCCTTTATTCCCAGCACTTGGGAGGCAGATCTCTGTGCATTCAAAACCAGACTTGTCTACAGAGTAAGTTCAGGATAGCCAGGGGTACACAGAGAAACCCTTTCTCAAAAAAAAAAAAGAAAGAAAGAAAGAAAGAAAAGAAAAGGAAAAGAAAGAAAAAAGAAGAAAGAAAAATTACAACACATTGTGAGTTTTCTTGGCAACTAGTCCTCCCACGGTGATACATCCCTGTGTTACCAGGTATAACAGTTCTTACTACAACAGTACTGCTTAACAGAGTTCTAAAGCAATTTTTGCTATTGCTCATACAAAGTTCAACTCGTGGTCTGACTGGTCTGATTTCAGGCCACTTAAAGCAGTTCTGTCGCTCACGCTCAAGTCTGTCGACGGACTGAGGCAGTCCTGCTCTACATATCACCCTCTTGGAGACACTCATGGACCAGTAGGATATCTGAGGCTTGCTTCTCTCCGAAATAAAAGATACAAGAGAATGAATAGAACACGAAAGACTTTGCTGCAGTAGGCTCATAAAGTTCTAGCTTATTCTATGAATTAATCAGATCTTGTGGCAGAGAGAAACATAGTCAGCCTCTTTAGCAAGGGGGACTGTACTAGTATAATAAAGGATATGTGTCCTGGGAGGTGTGAAGAACTGGGGTCACTACTGCAAGTCACTCAGTTTATTGTGTATGCTAACAAAACCAATATGGACCAAAGTCAGAGTATCATAGGGAGAACTCAAGACACAATTTAACTATGTGAAACAAAGTGGTCATTTCATAAGTTGAAGAAGATCTTGTAATAAGAGAAAAATTATTTAAACTGACATTAAGTCAGATGTAACTGCATATATATATATATATATATATATATATATATATTATCCTTGACAAACTATTACAAAACTCCAAGAACTATAATGATAATGCCAAAGGTATCATTCCAATGGTACAGAGCATCAGGTACCATTCCGGTGCCATAGCACCACAACATTTATTGCCTTGCTGGGATGACCAAGACGTTCTAGGAAGAATAGTTGTAAGCTGTGAGATATTTTTGTCAGAACAGAGGCAAGGGCTGCTCGTCCTGCTCTGTCCCTGCTGTTTCTGCCACTACAAGAGCTCCTGCTACAGTCTCAGCTAGAGCTGCCCGACTACTGTTTGCTTAGAATTGGAGAGGGTGAAGACGGTGGGAGCATCGCCGCTACATTTTTTTTTAAGTTTCATTTTTATTTTGTGTTATGAGTGTTTTTCCTGCATGAATAAACACCACATGTGAGTCTGGTGCCCCTTTGGGTCAGAAGAGAGCAGGGGATCCCTTGAAATTGGAGTTACAGGTGATTGTGAGCTATCTACTTGGTTCATAGTTGTTTGACTCTATTGTTCGGATTATTTGAAAACCCGCTTACTACAAGACACAAATATAAACACAGCTTTTGTGAATTTAAAGGGGAGCATCCACTTAGGCTAGGTTGGTTATAGAACCTTTTGGCGGGTCAGATCATTCTTTCCTAGGGGAGTCATCTTTCTGTCCACCAAAGGCTGAACTCCACAAACCACACCCACCTCTCAGTATATGTCCTGTGCAAAGCAAATGGCCTTCTAGCTGAGACTGGAAACACTCCAGCTTCTGGTGGAGGACTCTTAAAAACTCCTGCTCTATCTCCTTTTGTGGAAGCTTCTGTCTGAAGCGCTCCTAGTCAGTATACACTGCCTGCCTCAGAATCCATTCCTCTCTCATCCTGGACTTTTTTTGTCCCAGGAGCAGCCCGAGTCTGAAGTGTACGGAGGTGTGAGTAGGGGTCTTGTCACTTTGGCCCACTTGGTAAGAACTGGGTGTAGTGATGAAAGTAAGAGGTGATACTATTTGAAGACACTGCACTCTCTTCCTGTTGAGTGGGACTTTCCTCTCTGTTAGGCAAACGCAGGACCTCCCTGAGCGGCTCTCTCGGGTGAGCTGGCCCCTTCCGCTGCCTGCTCCCTCCAGTGAGCTAGCAGTTTCTCCAGCCTGGAGCCTGGAGCACCAGACCAGGCCGTCGGGGGCGGGCCAGCCCAAGGGGCTGCCTTCGCTGCAGTGACGTCCCAGGAGGCGGAGGGGCGACCAACTAACGGACTCTGCGCCCTCCCGGACTCCTCCCAGTGCGGGGTCTGTGGGTCCATGGGAGATGCGGCTGCCTTGGTGGCAGTTGCCAGAACGCAGCCGCCTCTTTGCCCACTTCTCTGTCTTAGCCCTGGGGTGTTGGAACGCACTGGAATCCAGCAATGCAGCCGGGACCAGCGCTACAGGCCGTGTTGCTGGCTGTGCTGCTGGCAGAACCGCGGGGTTCGAAGGGTCGCCTGCTGAGCGGTGAGTGTGCGCCCCGGGAAGAGGGTTGGTGCCCGAGCGCCTAGGGTTGACGCGCCCTGTACACCCCAGCTCTTGAGGATTGTCTTCAGGGCCACTGCACCCCTACTCTGTCCTTTCGCGTAGTGAGGGGGTCTGGGATCCCAAGATCCGCTCTGGGACCCAGTCTGCCCTTCTGAGTTCTCTGCTTTCAGGGAGCAAATGTGCAGCCAGCTCCGGTTCCTGGGCTGCCCTGGGTATCCTGAAACGCTGGAAGTTCATTCTCGCCCAGGGGTTACCAAAGGGTGAGTGGGAGGATAGCCTGGGTGGGGCAGTGGGCAAACTTGCTCCAGTGAGTGCCCTTTCTCCTGCACCCTTGAGCATTGCTGCTCTGCGCAGTGCCTGGATCCTCCTGGTGGAGGCTGCCAATTCTGGTTCTGTGGGACTGTGGGAAGCCTACCTGTTACTCTTGCTCTCCTCTGAGGGGTTGGTGGCTGGCCTGGAATGGGAGCGCTTGGAGATTAGGAAAGCAGTCTAGTTAGAAGGAACGGAACCAGCCCTGCCAGGCTCCAAGAATGACTCTGCTTCCTTCCTTGTGTGTCACTGCAGCCTCGGACTTGGACCCCAGAGGAGGTACAGTGCTCTGACTTCTTTCTCCTTCCACTCGGTCTGCATGTCTGGGAGAGAGTATCTATATCTTTTTATCAGTTCCCTTTTGGTCAAAGAGGGACGGAGGAAAATGGGAATCTCCACTGTATCCCAGCTTGTGGGCCTGATTTAAGGAATCTAACTTTGGTTTCAGGATGGGGATGTGGCTCAGCTCAGCAGAGGAGCAGCTAGGGTTAGAGCTGCATGGCTCTGCACTTGGTGGTGAGGGGAGACCTCCTGCCTGCCCTTCCCCTTCCTGCAAATGAGAAAAGAAAGACACTTCCTGAAGGCAGGGGAACCAGATGGGTCCTTGGATGCCTTCCAGCTCTGGTGCTCCCTGGCACTCACTAGCATGCAGGGGATGTGTGCAGTCATCCCGGGCCATGCAGGAAACCCTATCAAGGTGTTAAGCTTTCTTTTGGCAGTCTGTCCTGGAACGTGGGAATGCTAGAAAAGATAACTCCAGTTTCTGTTGTGCTAGTAGCCAGGTTGGGAGAGGCCAGGGCCCCTCTGCCTTCCTCTGCTAAGCACATTCTCTTTTCTCTGGACACCTCCCCAGTGAGCAAGGCCAGCTTCTGAGTACTCCTCATCTTCCAGGGAACCATCCTGCTACAGACCTTTTGTTTAGCAGCAACAGCGCCTTTTAAAGGGAAGAGGTACAGAACACTCCCAGCTCCTTGCTCAGGTGTGGAGTTGGGGGAGAATTTAGCACTGTCTGTGGTCTTTTGACCTGTATGCTGGACAAATATTGAAAATAATAAACATTGTCTGGCTCCCTGCAGACAATATTGGGGAAGTTGGAACACTCCAGAAGTCCTGGCAAGAGGCTCAGAAACTAAAATCACTTATGCGTTACTTGGTGGCAGCCATTCACACCCGAAGGCTACAGTTTGGCTCTTTTATTACAAGGGACTAGTCTCCTTGTTGAAATTTGTCCTTTATTTTGTACACTGAAATTCAGAGTCGAGCTGGCATGTCTGTATTCTCGATATCTAGCACATCAAGCAAGGAGGAATCACCTAATAAATGTCGGCTGAACAAAGGGGCGACTGGGCTAGGTTTCAGTTGCAGCAAGACCAGTCATCCAGACACAAGCTAAGGCCGTCTGTGCTGGCGAACAGTTTGCTACTTGCTGCTCAATGGGGTCTCATCCATTTTTCTAAAACTGTCTTCAGTCCTTCAAGTGTCAATCAAATAAGACATGCGCTCCCAGTGCAACCTGAGCCTGTCAGAGAGTGGGGCACCATCAATACAACTCAGTGATCCTGGTATGACTTTATAATCAGATCTGGGTCCTGACTCTGGCAGTGCTGCTGATGGCTTGTATGACAAATCAGTTTCTCTGAGCTTCAGTTCCCTCATTCATGAAGTGGGACATAAATGGTCTTGACATTGGACGACTGTTACGAGAACTAAAGGAGAATAATCTTTGTAAAAATAAAACCTTTACTATAGCTAATGAGATATGGAAAACGTTCAGAAAACTCCAGCTATTATCTTTCCGTCAGAGATCTGATTATCAGTAGCAGAAAAACCCATGGATGCTCTTAGCTTCTGCTCACACCAGAGACTGAGCATCGACAGGGAACTTTGCAGTCCATGACTGAGTTCAGAATGCTCCTCTTTACTGAAGGAACCCTTAACAGTAACACTTACTCTAAGCCCTCATAATTCCCTGGGACTTCCTAAGGGTATGAATGTCTTATTTATATGCATTAAGTGAAGTCATAAATATTTGCCTATTCTCTTTAAAACACAGAAACATCTTCAGCAATCTGCCCTGAAACAAAAATATAGATGCCCTACACAATACAGGCACTAGAGTTTAAAGTCACTGTTACTTTGTGTTGGAAAGAATATTAATTTTCGCTAGAAAGCCTGAGTGATAAGAATCCACAGATGAACCATCTGAATTCCTGCCCAGAGACAGTTTCATTCAGATGTGTCTAAGTACATATGCTCTGGTACACTTCCTTGGGGCACTGAAACAGGTTGCCTTCTTTTTTCCCTAGGACAGCTGGTCTGCTGGGGAGGGACTCGGAGGCCTTGCTACAAAGTCATTTACTTTCCTGAGGCTTTTCAAAGACTGAACTTTGAGGAAGCCAAAGAAGCCTGCAGGAGAGATGGGGGACAGCTAGTCAGTATCGAAACAGAAGATGAGCAGAGACTGATAGAAAAGTTCATTGAAAACCTCCTGGCATCTGATGGTGATTTCTGGATTGGCCTCAGGAGGCTGGAGGAGAAGCAGGGCAACAACACAGCCTGCCAAGACCTTTATGCTTGGACAGATGGAAGCACATCACAATTTAGGTAAGTGTGTGACTCCCACAGCAGCTGGTTCCCTTGAACATAGCTCAGAAAAGAGTCAAACAGGACCCACAGTCAGATTCATGAGAAGGTCTGGCAGTAACAACAGAATGGCTACAGATCTGAGCAGTATGGCAAAGATGGAGAACTCAGCCTTGACTTGGTCCCAAAGTGCCCTGTTCAGGTAGGTGAGTCCCAGCAGCCCTTTTTAAATAGCACACCATGCTTGACACCTATGGTTCTGGCTCTCTGGCCCGTGGAGCTAAGACTGTGTACCTTGAGAAACTGAAGGTACATAAAGATAGGGCCAGGGTAGGACTCTAGACCACAGGGAATCAGGATAAGGGCAAAAACCCATCTTACTCTACGGACTGACCAAGGGTGGAGAGTGAAGAAAGCTACAGTTTGTAGAAAGCTCCTCAACTCACAGCATCAAGATACTGATAATCACTCACATCCCACCATGTCCCATGATGCTGTCATCATCGCTTCCTAAAAACTACAGAAACATGGACAGACACTTCAAAAATATCAACATTGTAAGGCAAATATGGAAAGGGAACAATCTACCAAAAAGTTAATCTTTGTATGATAAAGAGTTGTAAATCGATTTAAATACATAGGTGATAAGACAAAAAGACAAACGACCTAAATGAGAGCTCACAATGAAGAACATCAAATTTACTATGCAATTATATGGAAAAATGTATAATCACTATCAAAATCATAAAGATTAAAAGGTGGTTTATCTGGGCTACAGAGATGCCTCAGTAGTTAAGAGCGCTGGCTGCTCTTGCAGTGGACCCAGGTTTAGTTCTCAGTACCCACATGGCAGCTCACAATTGTCTTTTATCTCCAATTCCAGGGGGGTTTTACTCCCTTTTCTGGACTATGAAGGCACTGCATGCACATGGTACACAGACATGCAAGCAGTCAAAGCGCTCATGTATATAAAATAAATAGATATTTTCTTAAAACATTTATTTATTTATTTATTTATTTATTATGTATACAATATTATGTCTGTGTGTATGTCTGCAGGCCAGAAGAGGGCACCAGACCCCATTACAGATGGTTGTGAGCCACCACGTGCTTGACTGGGAATTGAACTCAGGACCTTTGGAAGAGCAGGCAATGCTCTTAACCTCTGAGCCATCTCTTCAGCCCCCATAAATAGATATTTTTAAAATGATAGTTTATCTGTTACATTAATGCAGCATGCCAGCTCTCACTCTACTGGATTATACTTATAAGATCTCATCTTCATATAAGTTGTAGAAGAAACTCCTCTGACATTCTTACAGCCTTTTCTTCCTGAAAGAAATTTTGAAAGAGGAAGTTCAGAGTAGGAAGTATATCTCGCATCTCTGAAGATGATCTTAGATCCACACTGACACTTACTGACATCCCACCTTTACTGTCCCTACATAACATACCCTACCCCTGCTGCCGGTCTCAATGACTGACTTTGTAGCATAATCAGACAGTCATCTCTGAAGAGCATGAGGCTTTAATCAACTTGTACTTCTCAGCCTGGATTTAGTGTGCTTTCTCGTTGACTTTCAAAAGTAGGACGTGAACATGAAGATATTCCCCAGCACATAACTGGAAGGCATTAACATACAGCAGCAAACCACCTCCTCCTAATATAGAGTATATAACCTCCTGCCTAGATACTGACAGCTCTTCTTGTCTTGCCATGTAGTAACTAACCATGGCTTGTGGCTTGATTAAATCCTTGCTATGTCTCCTAACAGCAGTGTTCCTCTCTGGAAACTAAGTACATGCAAACTCCCAGATCATAGCATTGCAGAAATGAGAAGTACGAACTCCACAAGTGACAATGGGGTCCAGTGGAGGAACTGCTGCTCTTATCCCTTGGCTCCAGGCCCATGTATTCTACTCTTAGAGATACAGGGTAATGGAACTTGTTGCTTGAAAGTATACACTGCTACCTGGAGAATGACATCCATCTCCAAAGTTCAATTACTTTGAGGTTGATGCTTCAGCTGTCTTTTCAACAAGCTCTTCCAAGAGTCAAGCTGGTAGCTTTGGGATGGGGTCAAATGTAATCTGACAAGGACTTCCCAAGACCAGGGGGCTAGTTTTATACCTTCATTGCTACATTGGTCTTTTGCCTGATGAGACTGTATTTGGGGTCTTACTTTGATAGATAAAATACTATCTACACCTTTGGGTAGTGGATCTGACTAAAACCCTGAGGCAGAAAAAGCAAACTTAATGCCCAGATTATATCTATTTCTACCAAAATGAGCAACTGTCCTTTTCAGGGTCGTGTAGCTAACTTACCAAGTATCATGTTGGTCTCCTTAATTACCAGTGTTATCCTATCCCCTTCTCAACCTTCCCTCCCTTTGTTGGTGCTATCATTGCCAGACCATCTCTGGCGTCACCTGGGATGTCTCAGGTTGGGATTAGCATCAATCTTAATATTGGTTTCTACTGCTGGAAGGCTGGATATTTGTTGGTAGTCACAGCCAGATCAGTCTCGCTGTGTGCAGTCCAAACTGTTGAGCCCATACAGAGCCTCCACGATTATTGTTCTTATTTATCTATTGAGCTGCTATGGGTGTGGCTGAGAACAACTGGTTGGCATCATTTGGCTCATTCATTTCTGTCTCCCTGGTTGTCTAGTGCCAATTCTGTCCCTGCTGGGCGTATCACATGAGACACAATTCTCTGACTTCGTGATCACTTCTTTATCTCTCTTCACTTCGTTCCGTCCAAGATGTCATTATCTCCTATCTTCATCCTTTTTCTTTTACATTCTTACTGGTTGGCTGTGCATCTTTGTTTCCCCCAAGTTTCACATGTTTTACCCTCCAGAAACTTCTACTTACTTATAAAATGTCCAATGAGATATACTAACTAGAGTTCCAGCCAGTGGGAGGTTGTCCCCTCACCACTGGCTTTCAAGGCCATCTCCTGGTGCAGCTGCAGTGAAGCTTGTAGTCATCTCAGCTTGTTTGACTTCACTTAGATCCAGGATTGAGCTGACTGTATCAATTAGTCACAAAGGACTCTTTCACACACGGGGCGTGAGCTGAGGAAGAAGCGCTGGTACAACTGTGAGAAATGCCTGAGCCTAGGCCTTCCTTAAGAGTCTCTTTCTGCTCTGACTCCCACTCAAAACTGGCCAGCTGTCATAAAGGCCACAGTAGTACTCTCAGATGCAAAATATAAAACCTCCGGAACCCAAAGAGACCTGCCAAGTGCTATGCTTCCCTTAAATTATTGTATGATATAGTGGTTTGCATTAAATTTTAAAGGGATGATCTCTAGACATCTATATATCCCATCAAAGTGATGGGTCCTGATATTCATTGAGTTTTTCTCCAACTTTCTGGAATACATGAGTCTTACTAAGGTCTCCAACATATTATCCTTTTTTATCCCCTTGCTTATTTGGTGCAATTGGCACAGTGGTCAGCAGTATAAAGGGCCAGTATGATCTTCTTCACAATTCATAGGCAATTCAGGTATTATAACCGGGTGTGAGGAAAAAAATCAAAATAAGGCAAAACCAAGTGTATACTGTTATCTGTTTTCAATGAATGTAAACTGTTCCATGGTCTCTTGAATGTGTTCCCCAGATCTGCATACTTCTCTACAAAGATATCACTACAGAACAGCAGCCACATTAGGTTCTACAAGGTTGAGTGTGGGCTCCTCTTGTATAATCCTTTAGGGTCTGGGTTTTGCAGGACAGGCAGAGATGTGATGGGAGACAGCACTGTGCACTGTCAGGTCTTGAAGGCACCACTGCCTCCTGCCGTCTACCTCTAGATAAGATGCTGTGCTGAGGGGAATGCAGGCTCAGAGGTTATGCTTGGGGTTCTATACTATGATAGCCTAAGGAGTCAATGTGGAACTATACCAACTACTAGACAGGCCTATTCAGAGGCCCTGGGTTCCACCGTCAGCAAGCCCTAAAAATGGGGTTGTTGAGACACACTGGCATATAATGTGATCCTTCTGACTCCAGAGGTAGAAGCTTCAGGTTCATGTTTGGTCTCAGCTGGCTAAAGGCCCACCTGGAAGAGCTACCCTAGACCTTGCCTCACAACAACTGAAAAATTAGAGCCAATTAATATCTATCCATATATTTACATATATAATATTTTGGAACTGGGCCAATGACACTGGTTAGACCCACTGTGAGCTGACTAATTGATTACCTTGTCCCAATGTGCCCCGACTCCAATGTGTGGCTTTCAGGTCATCAATGACCATTTATAAGCGATGTTTAACAAATCTAGCAATATTTAGACATACCCCCCTTCCCAAGTGTATGGTCATTTGGTTAAATAGCCAAAGGTCCTTCTGGGGAAAGAACAGAAGAAATTGTTTTCATAGACACCTGCCACAGCATCATAGGATTTTCCTTCTAGGTATCTGGCCTCTCCCCTTATCTGTGAGTTATGAGACTGAAAACTGGCTCAAGTCCAAAAATATTATTCTAGGAATCAATCTCTCTCTCTCCCCCTGCCTCCCTGTCCCTCTCTGAGATGAAGTAACATGAACCCATAAAGCTTTGGGGAGGGGGGCCGGTTTTGCTGGAGTTAACTAATTAGCACAAAGCCCAGTCTCCACCAAGACCCCTCCCAGATGTTCATGCATAATATCCAGAGTTTTATCATATATTCAGCTGTTGTCCAGAAAACACTTTCAAGACAGTAGGTGCAACAAAGGATCTTCCTTTTAGCAGACTGTAGCCCAGGACTAACACAAAGTCATACTGTGGTGTTACCAGGCATGTCTCTTAGCCAACCCTCCTGAAGAGAGGCTTGAGAAAACATGAACAGAGCAGCAGCATCTAGATAAATAGTCTGAGAGTTGGAGCTAGATCCTAGCCCTGGGCAGAAGCAGATCAATACTCAGGCAAACCACAAAGCCCAGACCTCAATTGGCAGATGGGGTAAGTGCTTACAAACTTCTCCTCAGTGGGCTCCAAGTCCTTCTCCTGGTTCCCATATAGGAACAAGGTGGCAGCACTACCCAGTCCCAGGGACTACTAGATGCTAAAGCTAAACGTGCTACGAACCCTTTCAGGGAGCTAAAGAAGCAAAAGGAAGATGCCTCAGAGGGGTGTGTTTCCTTGATCCTATGCAAAGGATTTGAACACTAACCAAGACCAAGATGGCCTCCTGTCCCCTTTCCCAGCCCGTCTCCTACTTTGGCAGCCTCTAAATTTTAGGATATCCCTTTCAGATTCTTCACCTTCTCATCCATCATCTGGGGCTGGTGTGGCAGAGGTTTCTATTGGAAAGTAGCAAGATGGAAGCAAGGAGAGCTTTGAGAGAGAGATGCCATATCTCTCCTTAGTATGTATGATTTCTGAAAAGATGTGCCCAACTAGCACAAAGCCAAAAAAAGAAGGCAAGCATTAAGATCTTCCAGACTAGCTCTGTGCTAGCTGCTATTTCTCATAATTATTTCGCAGACATAGAACATAATATATTCCTCCCTGCAAAGAGGTTGTGGCAAATGTCAGATGATTGATTGTGACAGCCACGCTGGATCAACAGCATGTGTCTACTTGCTGGCAGTGCTTCAATTCTCCCTTCTCTCTGCATCGTGCTCTGAAGCAGAATCTGACACTGGCGGGTCAATGGAACCTCACGAGAAAGAGGGACATGGAAGTCTTAGGGTGTGTTTCTCCCGTTATCTCCATTGTCCTTCCTTTCCCTTCAGGAACTGGTATGTGGATGAGCCATCCTGTGGCAGCGAGGTCTGCGTGGTCATGTACCATCAGCCGTCAGCACCACCCGGCATCGGGGGCTCATACATGTTCCAGTGGAATGATGACCGATGCAACATGAAGAACAATTTCATTTGCAAATATGCTGATGGTAACGAAACTTTTCCCCCAGTTATATGGCTAAGTTTCCAACCTCTTTCTCCATTTCAAAAACAGCTGCTGGTACCAAGAACTTAGTCTGTGCTCCCTGAGAAAGCTTGTTGCAAATGTCAGCAACACTAAACTTTGGGAATTCTTGTAAATGGAAATGTGAATGCACTTCCTCCCTGAGAAACAGTTCTAGTAAAGGAGAGGGAAAAGGAGGGATGGTAGGGAAAAGGTTCTAATTTACTTAGGATGAAAAGCAATACTTATGTGAACATCTGATAAAGGCCTCTGCTGTGAACAGGCACAAACTCACTCATTCCATGTGTGTTTGGCTGTGGGAGCCAGGAATAAGCTGAGGGTTACTTCTGCAAGTCCTCTGGCAGCCACATGAGATTATGTCCTGAAATCTAAGGCAACATAATAATGACCAGAAAAGGCAAAATACCCCAACTTCACTGGCAGGCTTAGACAGCGGGCACTTTGATGAAGAAGTTTAAAAGTCTCTAGCCACCCACCTCTAGATTTGCCTTGCAAATTCAACTTGCATTTGCTTCCAGATCTGCAAAGAGTTGGAACTGGCAAAAAACTCCACAGTCTCGCTCTACTGAGTTCCTAGAATCCTTTATTAAAATTGACTCAGAATTAAACTCATTCTTGATGTGTCCCTGAAGTTTCTCACTTCCCTGAAGCCAACTGCTTGGGCCCAACTCCATAGCCTTTCCCGACAGGGGCAGAATGACTTGTTAGTTTTATCTGTTATAATTCGGGACTAAATACTATTGCCATTTTTAGCTGCTTGAACTACGATATCCTCTGGTGGCAAGTTTGTGCTGAAAGATGTTTTTCCTCGCCCGTTCTAGCCTTAGATGAACTCTTCTCTGTGCCCTGTCTTTCCCACATATGCAGTTGCCCAGAGAGAGGGAGTCTGCAGAGACCTGGACTGGCTCCGCAGACCACCTTCTCAGAGCAGTGAAGGAAAGCGCTGGTTATACACAGATTTTTCATCTTCTATCGTTTTTGTTTATTAGAGTCTATTAACTTTATGGTTTAAGTGTTTGCACATTTTTAAAAAACATAATTCTTTATTGACTCTGAAAATTTCACATCATGCACCTCAATCCTGCTCACCTCCCAGTCCTTCCATATCCACCTCTCACCCCTGCACTATGCTCCCCCCAAATTAATTCAAAACAAAACAAAAACCCACCTCACCCCTCCATCTTCCCAACACCTCTTCATTCGTCCTAGTGTGATGTGACGTGCCACATAGTACACCCTTCGTCCAACCAGCCCCACCCGCAAAATGTTCATCACGGCCAGTGTGCGCTGGTGTGCTGTGTTCATGGCCAGTGTGCACTGATATGCAGCTCACTGATGTGCTGTGTTCGTGGTCAAGAGTCAGTGGTCAGAACTACAGGAGATCAGTGTCTATGGGAATCACAGGGTGTCAGAAGATAAGCCACAGAGTTAGATTCATCCACATCTGTTGTTTTATCTTTACTAAATAGCACAATTATGTCTGTTTATGGTTTTAATTTTTATTTAGATTTATTTAGTTGAAATTCCTTTCAGCTAACTATTGGCTATAAAAAAATTTTTATTTATTTATTATATATACTGTATTCTGCACCAGATCTCATTACAGATGGTTGTGAGACACCATGTGGTTGCTGGGAATTGAACTCAGGACCTTCAGAAAAACAGGCAGTGCTCTTAACCTCTGAGCCATCAGCTATAAAATTTAAGCAGTTTTTTTTAAAATATTTATTTATTTATTTATTTATTATGTATACAATATTCTGTCTGTATGCCTGAAGGCCAGAAGAGGGCGCCAGACCTCTTTACAGATGGTTGTGAGCCACCATGTGGTTGCTGGGAATTGAACTCAGGACCTTTGGAAGAGCAAGCAATGCTCTTAACCACTGAGCCATCTCTCCAGCCCCTTAAGCAGGTTTTTTATTCCCTTTATTTTAGTTTTTCTGTGTACAAAGTAAGAATAGTAATAAGGCCCCCTTATAAGCCTGTTATCAAAATAGTTTTTATATAACACTTAAGATGATTTCTAGGATTGTAGGCATTATGTGGGTAAGTTTGAAAGTAAATAAACAGACTTATATCATGCCTATACACACATATACAAGAAAGAAGATAAGGGCTGGAGAGCTGCTCAGAGGTTAAGAGCACTGACAGCTCTTCCAGAGGTCCTGAATTCAATTCCCAGCCACCACATATACATGGTGGCTCACAAGCATCTGTAATGAGATCTGGCACCCTCTTCTGGTGTTCAGGGATAATACAGGCAGAACACTATACATAATAAATCTTAAGGAGGGGAAATAAAAAAGAAAGTTTAAGCATTACTTCCCTTTCTGAATGAAATTCCTGATATCTGGGCCTGAAAACTATAATCTCTAAAACCTCCAGGATCCTATGCATCCCAGACATCTGATACTCAGTGCTAATACCAGGTCATCCAACAGCAAAAACATTTGCCATAAGTTGTCTGTGACATAAAGCTCTTAGGAATGTTTTAAGCATCACAAAGCTAGTCACCAGTCTCTGCCTTGAAACTGGGCAATCCCTCAACCACTTCCACTTCCTGCAGACCAAGTGTTTGTTGCTCTCTGAAATGTCCTCAGTAGGAACTGATAAAATATCTTGGACCACTTTAAGACCATCTCAGCCAGGACTGCAGTGGGGGAGTAGGGATCAATGCTGAGCAGCTCCATGCTGATAAGGTGGAGTTTGTATAACAACACACGGGATCTCAATATACTATTTTTGTGTGCATTTAGAAAGCCTAATATTAAAGTTCTTAAATACTTTTTAAAACAGCACTGAAGAGTAAAGCTGAAGAAAGGCTAATATTCATGTGCAATTAACTCTTTGTCTTAGGCAACCTACCTCTGGTATCTGATAATAATAATTAATAAGGTGATAATAAACGGAGTTATTAGAATTAGATGCCACACTAGCTGGTTTCATTCAGATGGAGGAAAACGTAACTATTGTTTTTGTTTCTTTCTGCTACAGAGAAACCAAGTACAACACCTTCTATAAGGCTTGGAGGTAAGTCTATCCTGTGAGATTTGGGTTCATTGGGATCATTTCACAGTCCCATCCATAGATTTAAAACAATGCCTTTAGAGCAGATTACTCAGCAGAAGACCACTGGCGTTTACCCAAGCAACAGGGACAGATATCTATCACCTCCCATTGTGGCTTCCAGCTCATCATGCTTACTCTCTGTCCACTGTTACCTATACTGGTCAAAACGGAAAAGTAATAGTTTGAAAATTACATTTTGGATGTTTATTCTTATTATTGATATAAAGGGAGTAATTTAATCTAATGAAGTAAGAAATGAGCCCAGCTGATTATTTATGGTCCTACCAGTAAGCCATTGTACCTCCCCCTATGTACTTCAGTCCTTTATATTGCTTGTTGGCTGTTTTGGTGCCTGATCATGGGCAAAGTTTGCACCAAAAATATGAAGACATAATGGGGAGATGGCTCAGTGGCTGAAGTGCTCACTGTGCACGCTCAAGGATCTGAGTTAGAACTCCAGGATCCATGTCTACAAGCTTGGCACAGTGATATGTACCTCTGACCCCATCACTGGGGAGACAGAGACAGGGTCTACCTGCGAGCTAATCTACCTGAACCTGCAAGCTCCACATTCGGAGAGACTTTCAAAATACAAGGTGAAGAACATAGTGGAAGACACCTGATGTCAACCTCTAGCTCATGTACACACACACACACACCACACAGATACATATTTTTGCACACACACATGAACATAGGAATGCACACACAATGAAGACAAACCTCTAGCGCAACAAATTCCAACGTTACTGTGTGTATCAGTGGCATTGGTCAGATCACTACTGTTTTCTTGCATCCCCACTACATGTGTCAAAGGACCCCAGGGCCTGGACTATAGCACCTTTCCTCAAGTTCTCAAGTCCCTATGTACCTCTCTCAGGTGAAGCAACCGAGCCAGCAACACCAGCACTTCCAGAAGAAACACAGAAAGAAGACACCAAAGAAACATTTAAAGAAAGCAGAGGTACTTGGGAAGGATGACGGGACTCGTGTGACTAGAAATCACCTACTTTCTTCTGCTTACAGTTCCTTAAAAAGTGAAATTAGGCAAAGATCTGTGACGTTGCAAGCACTGTATGAAATGCTGGGTTTCACCAATGAAATATGCAATGGGCGTATCCTAAGACGACCGAAACTAGGCAGGAGGTGGCGGGTCCTGCCTGTTTCCAAGACTTGGGAACTTATCTGACCATGGGAAGTGGGATAAGCTAGGGACTGAGAGAAAGGATGTAGAAAAACAAGAGAGAATTAACCCAAGCCATAATATATGTCATCTGGGACCAAAATTCATCTGTAAACAAAACTGAGGAAGTGGGAGGGATAAACATCTAGAAGTCTGCATCACAAAAGGTAAAGGAAAGTCCGGGGTGGTGAACTGGACTGCTAATGAGCTTTGAACTTCACTCTCACCCTGAGTTTCTTTTTTTTTTTTTGTTTTTTAATTGAGAAAAGAAGAAAAAAAAACATAAACAAAAAAACAAGTTTCCACCTCCTCCCAGCCTCCCATTTCCCTCCCCCTCCTCCCACCCTTCTCCCCCTCCTCCCACCCTTCTCCCCCTCCCCCCACTCCTCTCCCCCTCCCTCTCCAGTCCACAGAGCAGTCCGGGTTCCCTGCCCTGTGGTAAGTCCTAGGTCCTCCCCCCTCCGTCCATATCTAGGAAGGTGAACATCCAAACTGGCTAGGCTCCCACAAAGCCAGCACATTAAGTAGGATCAAAACAATGAGGGCGTCTCATCAGCCCTCATTGTTCGCCATGTTCAGAGAGTCCGGTTTTATCCCATGCTTTTTCGGTCACAGTCCAGCTGGCCTTGGTGAGCTCCCAGTAGATCAGCTCCACTGTCTCAGTGGGTGGGTGCACGCCTCGTGGTCCCGACTTCTTTGCTCATGTTCTCCCTCCTTCTGCTCCTCATTGGGACCTTGGGAGTTCAGTCCAGTTCTCCTGTGTGGGTCTCTGTCTCTATCTCTATCCATCACCAGATGAAGGTTCTATGATGATATGCAAGATATTCGTCAGTATTGCTCTAGGATAGGGTCAATTCAGGTTCCCAATCCTCAGCTGCCCAAGGAACTAACTGGGTACCTCATCTTGGGCACTTGGGAGCCCCTCTAGGATCAAGTCTCTTGCCCACCCTAAAGTGGCTCCCTTAACTAAGAATTGTGGTTCCGTGCTCCCCTATCCACCTTTCCTTTATCCCAATTCTCCTGTTTCCCCAAGTCCCCCCTCCTTCCCTTCTACCTTTTCTCTCCCCATCTCCCCTTACCCCCATCCCACCCCACCCCCAAGATCCCAATTTTCTCCCCGGCAATTTGGTCTACTTCCCTTAGCCAAGAGGATAACTATATGTTTTTCCTTGGGTTCACCTTCTTACTTAGCTTCTTTAGGTTCACCAATTGTAGACTCCGTGGCCCTTATTTATGGCTAGAAACCAATTATGAGCGAGTACATCCCATGCTCATCTTTTTGGGTCTGGGACACCTCACTCAGGATAGTGTTTTCTATTTCCATCCATTTGCATGCAAAATTCGAGAAGTCATTGTTTTTTACCGCAGCGTAGTACTCTAGCGTGTATATATTCCATACTTTCTTCATCCATTCTTCCATTGAAGGGCATCTAGGTTGTTTCCAGGTTCTGGCTATTACAAATAATACTGCTATGAACATAGCTGAACAAATGCTTTTGTCATATGATAGAGCATCTCTTGGGCATATTCCCAGGAGTGGTATTGCTGGATCCAGGGGTAAGTTGATCCCGAATTTCCTGAGAAACCGAAACACTGACTTCCACAGTGGTTGCACAAGATTGCATTCCCACCAGCAATGGATGAGGGTACCCGTTCCTCCACAGCCTCTCCAGCAACGGTTATCCTTGGTGTTTTTGACTTTAGCCATTCTGACAGGTGTCAGATGATATCTCAAAGTTGTTTTGATTTGCATTTCCCTGATTGCTAAGGAAGTTGAGCACGACCTTAAGTGTCTTTTGGCCATTTGAACTTCTTCTGTTGAGAATTCTCTGTTCAGATCAGTGCCCCATTTTTTAATTGGGTTAATTAGCATTTTAAAGTCTAGTTTCTTGAGTTCTCTATATATTTTGGAGATCAGACCTTTGTCTGTTGCGGGGTTGGTGAAGATCTTCTCCCAGTCAGTAGGTTGCCTTTGTGTCTTAGTGACAATGTCCTTTGCTTTACAGAAGCTTCTCAGTTTAAGTAGGTCCCATTTATTCAATGTTGCCCTTAATGTCTATGCTTCTGGGGTTATACATAGGAAGCGATCTCCTGTGCCCATCTGTTGTAGGGTATTTCCCACTTTCTCTTCTATCAGGTTCAGTGTGTTCGGGCTGATATTGAGGTCTTTAATCCATTTGGACTTGAGTTTTGTGCACGGTGATAGATATGGGTCTATTTTCATTCTTCTACAGGATGACATCCAGTTGTGCCAGCACCATTTGTTGAAGATGCTTTCTTTCTCCCATTGTATACTTTTAGCTCCTTTATCAAAAATGAGGTGTTCATAGGTTTGTGGGAAAAAATCCGGGTCTTCTATTCGATTCCATTGGTCGACTTCTCTGTTTTTATGCCAGTACCACACTGTTTTCATTACTGTAGCTCTGTAATAGAGTTTGAAGTCATGGATGGTAATGCCTCCAGAAGATCCTTTATTGTATAGGATTGTTTTGGCTATCCTGGGTTTTTTGTTTTTCCATATAAAGTTGAGTATTGCCCTCTCCAGATCTGTGAAGAATTTTGATGGGATCTTGATGGGGATTGCATTGAATCTATAAATTGCCTTTGGTAGAATTGCCATTTTTACTATGTTGATCCTCCCAATCCAAGAGCAAGGGAGGTCCATCCATTTTTTGGTATCCTCTTCAATTTCTTTCTTCAATGCCTTAAAGTTCTTGTCAAATAGATCTTTCACTTCCTTGGTTAGATTTACCCCAAGATATTTTATGCTGTTTGTGGCTATTGTGAATGGTGAAGCTTCTCTGATTTCCCTCTCTGCTTCCATATCCTTTGTGTATAAGAGGGCGACTGATTTTTTGGAATTGATCTTGTATCCTGCCACATTACTAAAGCTGTTTAACAGCTGTAAAAGTTCTTTGGTGGAGTTTTGGGGGTCGCTTATGTACACTATCATATCATCTGCAAATAACGAAAGTTTAACTTCTTCCTTTCCAATTCGAATCCCCTTGATCCCATTATGTTGTCTTATTGCTATTGCTAGAACTTCAAGCACTATATTGAAGAGGTATGGCGAGAGTGGACAGCCTTGTCGTGTTCCTGAGTTAAGTGGGATGGCTTTGAGTTTCTCTCCATTTAATTTGATGTTAGCTGTCGGCTTGCTGTATATAGCTTTTATTATATTTAGGTATGACCCTTGTATCCCTAATCTCTCCAAGACTTTTAACATAAATGGATGTTGAATTTTGTCAAATGCTTTTTCAGCATCTAATGAAATCATCATATGGTTTTTTTCTTTCAGTTTATTTATATGCTGGATTACATTGATAGATTTTCATATGTTGAACCAGCCCTGCATCTCAGGAATGAAGCCTACTTGATCATAATGGATAATTTTTCGGATGTGTCCTTGGATTCGATTTGCCAGTATTTTGTTGAGGATTTTTGCGTCGATATTCATCAGTGAGATTGGCCTGTAGTTCTCTTTCCTGGTTGAGTCTTTGAGTGGTTTTGGTATCAGAATAATTGTGGCTTCATAAAAGGAATTTGGTAATGACCCTTCTGTTTCTATATTGTGGAATACATTAAGGAGTATAGGTATTAGGTCTTCTTGGAAGTTCTGGTAGAATTCTGCATTGAAACCATCTGGTCCTGGGCTTTTTTTGGTAGGGAGGTTTTTGATAACAGCTTCTAATTCTTCGCGACTGACAGGTCTGTTTAGATTGTTCACCTGGTCCTGGTTTAGTATTGGTAAATGGTATTTATCTAAAAACGTCTCCATTTCTTTTACATTTTCCAGTTTTGTGGCATACAGGCTTTTGTAGTAAGATCTAATGACTCTCTGAATTTCCTCTGTGTCTGTGGTTATGTCCCCCTTTTCATTTCTGATCTTATTAATTTGCGTGTTCTCTCTCTGCCGTTTGATTAGTTTGGATAGGGGTTTATCAATCTTGTTGATTTTCTCCAGGAACCAGCTTTTTGTTTCATTGATTCTCTGGATTGTTTTCTGTGTTTCTATTTTGTTGATTTCAGCCCTCAGTTTGATTATTTCCAGTCTTCTACTCCTCCTAGGTGAGTCTGCTTCTTTTTTTTCTAGAGCTTTCAAGTGGGCTGTTAAGTCTCCAATATGTGCTTTCTCTGTTTTCTTTAGGTGGGCACTTAGTGCTATGAACTTTCCCCTCAGGACTGTTTTCATAGTGTCCCATAAGTTCGAGTATGTTGTTTCTTTATTTTCATTGAATTCCAGGAAGACTTTAATTTCTTTCTTTATTTCTTCCTTAATCCAGGTATGGTTCAGTAGTTGACTGTTCAGTTTCCATGAGTTTGTAGGCTTTCTGGGGGTAGCATTGTTGTTGAATTCTAACTTTAATCCATGGTGATCTGATAAGACACAGGTGGTTACTAATATTTTTTTTTTGTAACTGTGTAAGTTAGCTTTGTTACCAAGTATGTGGTCAATTTTCGAGAAGGTTCCATGAGCTGCAGAGAATAAGGTATATTCTTTCCTCTTTGGGTGGAATAATCTATAGATGTCTGTTAAGTCCATTTGCTTCATTACCCCCATTAATTCTCTAATTTCTCTGTTAGGTTTCTGTCTGATTGACCTGTCCATTGGTGAGAGAGGAGTGTTGAAGTCTCCTACTATTAGTGTGTGTGGTTTGATGGCTGCCTTGAGTTTTAGTAATGTTTCTTTTACGTACGTGGGTGCTTTTATATTAGGGGCATAGATATTCAGGATTGAGACTTCTTCCTGATGAATTGTTCCTGTTATGAGTATAAAATGTCCCTCTCCATCTCTTCTGATTGATTTAAGTTTGAAGTCAACTTTGTTAGAAATTAGTATGGCCACACCTGCTTGTTTCTTAGGTCCATTTGCTTGATAAGCCTTTTCCCAGCCCTTTACTCTGAGTAGGTGCCTGTCTTTGTGGTTGAGGTGTGTTTCTTGTAGACAGCAGAATGTTGGATCCTGTTTTCTTATCCAATCTCTTAGCCTGTGCCTTTTTATAGGTGAGTTGAGCCCATTGATATTAAGTGATATTAATGACCAGTGGTTGTTAACTCCGGTCATTTTTTTAGTAGTAGGGTTTGTGTGTTTTCCTTCTTTGATTTGCGCTGGTAAAGGGTCTCTAGATGTCTGAGTTATTGTGGTCATTGTTGGACTCCTTGGTTAGTGATTTTCCTTCTATTATTTTCTGTAAGGCTGGATTTGTGGCTACGTATTGTTTAAATTTGTTTTTATCCTGGAAAATTTTGTTTTCTCCATTTATAGTGAACGAAAGTTTGGCTGGATATAGTAGTTTGGGCTTGCATCCGTGGTCTCTTAGTTTTTGGAGTACATCTATCCAGGACCTTCTGGCTTTCATGGTTTCCATAGAGAAGTCAGGTGTAAGTCTGATAGGTTTACCTTTATAAGTAACTTGGCCTTTTTCCTTTGCGGCTCTTAATATTCTTTCTTTATTCTGTATATTTTGTGTTTTGATTATTATATGGCGAGGGGATGTTTTCTTTTGATCCAGCCTATTTGGTGTTCTGTATGCTTCTTGAACCTTCATAGGTACATCTTTCTTCAGGTTGGGAAAGTTTTCTTCTATAATTTTATTAAGTATATTTTCTGTACCGTTGAGCTGCACTTCTTCTCCTTCTTCTACTCCAATTATTCTTAGGTTTGGTCTTTTTATTGTGTCCCATATTTCCTGAATGTTTTGTGATGAGACTTTGTTGGACTTGCTGTTTTCTTTGATCAGAGCGTTTATTTTCTCTATGTTATCCTCAGAATCTGAGATTCTTTCTTCTATCTCTTGTATTCTGCTGGTTATGCTTGATTCTGTAGTCTCTATTCGTTTACCTAGATTTTCCATGTCCAGCCGGCCCTCTGTTTGTGTTTTCTTCTTTGCCTCCATTTCAGTTTTCAAGTCATGAACTGTTTCCATTATCTGCTTGATTGTTTTTCCTTGGTTTCCTAGGGTATCATTCACTGATTTACTCAATTCCTCGAACTTTCCGTTATCCTTCTCATCCATTTCTATAAGGGCGTTTTTTATATGCTGTTTAAGGGTGTCAATCACTTTCATGAAGTCAGTTTTTTCTACTTCTTCTTGATTAAGCTGTTCATGTCCTCCTGTTGTGAGGTCACTGGCTTCTGGTGGTTTCGTGTTGTTTTTCAGGTTGTTGGGAGAATTCCTGCATTGGCGTCTGCCCATCTCTTCCTCCCAATACTCCCCTTTGGATCTTCTTTTACAGGATCAGGTCTTCTTGCCCACTGATGTACCTTCCCAGTGATGTCACTCCCCAGAGATGTTTCTCCACAATGATGTTTCACTTGGGGCCCAGATCGCAACTCCTCGCTGCTTGGTTAGCTCGCGAACAAAGGGCCCACCCTGCTCGCTGCAGGCAGGCTATGGGAACAAAGGAGCTACAGGCCACCCCTTTGTCCTCCTGGTTCGGGTTCGGTCCCAGTGCCCTAGCAGGCTGAGCAGGGAGGCGCTATGCTGCCAAAGAAGGGAGGGTCACCCTGAGTTTCTAAAGGGAAATCTGGGGTTTTGTCACTGGGCAACTTAACTTAAAAAAAATCCTCTGTGTTTCAGTTTAATCATTTAGTATTTTTCATATCTAGCTGACAGTATTATCAGTTTCATAAAGTAAAATATAATGTTTCCCTGCAATTCAGTTCTGACACTGAGGGTCTATGTAGTCTCCCCACAAAGCTTAAAGACACCTTCCATACCTCTCACATCAGACAGACATCCAGACGGACATCAGTCACAGGTCTCACAGTCCTCAGACCACCCGCACTCATGTTCAACTGGCTACACATCCGGTAGTGCCCACCAGCCCTGCCAGGTTCTGGAACTCACAAGAACTCACAGAATTTAGGAATACAGTGTCTGTACATCTTATTACACATGATCCAAGTTGGGAACAGCCAAACAAAGACACATCCAGGGCAAGGTCTGGAAAGGTTTCAGATGGGGTCTTCTGTGTCTTCTCCCAGTGGAATCAGGACTATCAACCTCTTTGCTACAATTTGACTATAAAATATCTTCTGAATGCTCATGTATTGAATGTTTAGTCCCCAGGTAGTAGTGCTATATGGAAAATTCTGGAAACTTTAGGGTTTGGGTCATAGCTGGAGGAAGGAGGTCACAGGGAGCATGCCTGTGAAGCTAATACATAGTGCCTGTTATGTTCATTTTTCTCTGCGTCCTGTTCACCATGATGTACATAGCCACCTCCTCTGACATGTTTGCTCATCTCCATAATTCTCTCTGACATCATGGAGCCAGTTATGAAACCCAGAGCTGAAATCATCTTTCCGTCTTTAAGTCGTTCTTTTGGATAGCTTGCTCACAGCTTCACAAACGCCAACACTATACTTCTCCCGGCACACTGACATGTTACCCACCCAGGAAGCTCCATCAGGCTTTGGCGTCCGGAGGTTTTGTTGGGTTTCATTACCTAAGCAGGGTAGAGGTCAGGGGGTGTTTCTCCAAAGGAGAATTCTGGTCAAAGCTCCAGTCTGTGGTCACCTGGTATTAACAGCCCCCATTCTAATAAATCTCCTTGCCATAAACTCTGTAGTGTTTGAGAGGCTCATGAATAAAAACTCAATCCTATTTCTTAGAGAATTTCAAGGATTTGGAGCCTCTCTACCAAGGACCAGGGATAGAGGCTAGTAAAATTCTTTATTGTCCAATAGATGAATTGTGAAAATATCTTAAAAAGAGAATAAATCAAAAGTGGGTGACATTTGTAAAATTATAATGGTATTTTAAATGAATTCTCCATTTTCTGAGAGTGTTTGCTGTTTTTGATGATTGTCAGGTCTCTATCCTCACAGAAAGTGGGGGAGTGACAGGCTCTGGATGACAGGAGCCTTGAGTCAGTCGAAGCAGAAGGGTTAGTTAGTCGCTGGCCCTTGATTTCTCTCACAGCCCCTAAAGGGAGAGCCATGTCCGTTCTGTGTCAGAGACTACAGGGTTCAGAAAAGAGGACCCCTAAGTGTTCTCTGCAGCACTCAGGGACCTAGCCGAAGCTGCTGGGCCTCAACCAGCTGGGCAGGGCTGATGGACAACTTTATTGTGACCCTTCTCTTTCCTGCAAACGACACTGAGACCCTGGTTTGATTTTTTCACCCGCTCTTCCCACGCCAGTCTTGCCAAGTTCTGTGACTGCCCCTGGAGGCAAAGACATCCACACCGCCCCCACCAAGACCTGTTTCACTAAGAAGTACATAGAAAAGGAAGATAGCTTTACTCTGAAAAAAAAAATTATAAAACATGATCTTCCAATATTCGCCAGACTCCAAACTTTAAACTTGTTTACAGTATCACTTAGATTAACAGGTCATGTCGAAAATGCTCATCTGTTGAAACTAGGAACTCTGCTAGCCAGGCAACTTCATCTGTTTCCTGCGTGTGCTGCTTGCAAGATTCTATTGATTGTGCTCTTAAAGCTTGCTTTGAAACAAAACGTACAGAGAGACAGAAAAAGAGATCACCGGGGCTAATATATGCTTTTTTTCTTTTTCAGAGGCTGCTTTGAATCTTGCCTACATCCTAATCCCCAGCATTCCCCTTTTCCTCCTACTAGTGGTCACTTCAGCTGCCTGTTGGATTTGGATCTGTAGGAGGAGGCAAGTAGAACTTTCATCATGAAAACCTTTGCTCCCCTCTGCATTGAGACTTGGAGGTTGCCCAGGTGATGTCATTAAAAGCCATGCAAACTCCAAGAGAAGGATCAGTGCAGATTGAGAGTAAACTCTGGCTGACTCGAGACTCTAGGTGCACAGCAGACAAGCAGCAAGCATTTGTGCTAGGCTGTGATTAAGCTAGTGGTCCTGTATCCTTTGTTTCCTGTGTGTGTGGAAGGTAAAACAGTGTTATTCACTTCCTCTGTAGCCATGCATCACCCAGCAAAGCGCTCTCCTAAATGGAGGTCCTCGTTCCAAAAATGTCTATTGAGTAAGGAATGACTAATGGACCACATGAAAACTGTGTGTTCCAGAGCATTCTGGGAAGCATCTGACACAAAGCCAGTCCATTCAGAATGAATCAGCCAAATTCTTTTTAACTGATTTTTCTTTTATTGATTTCAAAAGTACATTGCTGCAAAGCAGCTAAACCAGGTAGCACAGGCAGCCTCTGTATGTATATGGGTCGTGTGCTCACGTATTTTAGGTGCATGCAACTGTCCTCGGTTACACTTTCGTCCCCCTTCATCATGGTCTACATACAAAAAGGCTGGCAGTCTCACTTTTCAGAAGGAAAATCAAGGCCCAACTTAAGTCAGTATCACTTTGATGAGCAATTTGAAATAAATTTGTAAAATTTCAATGCAGAACCTATTCCTTTTAAAAATTCCCTTAAAGGGTTATTATGGTATTAAAGCAATGAATACACACATAACAAGCATATATTTATTGAACACTCAAAAGTATTAGCCATTGCTATAGTCATTTTGTTAGTAATTCTCTTGAATTTAAAATAGAATTCAGTTAAACAATTATAGATACATTTTTTTCCAACGGTTTACACTGCAGTTGGTTCTTCAAATGTATTTATTTGATAAATATAGGATTTATTTGATAAATATAGGATTGGAGAATTATAGCTTTCTTCCCAAATCGTTTTCATTCTCTCTCTCTCTCTCTCTCTCTCTTTCTCTCTCTCTCTCTCTCTCTCTCTTTCTATCTCTCTCCCTCTCTCTCTCCTTCCTCCTTTTTCTCTTTTTAATTTTTTCCTGTCTTCATTTTTTTGAAACAGTCCTCTGAATCAACCCAGGGCTTTCCACATGCCAGACAAGTAACATTTAGCTTTATCCCCAGTCCTTTAAACAATATTTTTTAAGTGCAGCAAACAAAATGCATTGGTAGAAAAATGAAGCAATTATACCACTACATAGTTTAGCAAAAATATTTTCCAAAATGAATCATTTCTTTATTAATGATTCTTAATGGTAGGTATAATTATAATTTTGAAGTACAGGTGAGTATAAAATATTTCAAAGCAAGTATAATAACTGATATGATATAGGAACATGATTTCTGTTGGTGATAGAGTCAATATTATTAATCCTACCCTTGTTACTTAAACTTTTAATGGTAGAATAGAAATAGACTAGAAATAGTAATAGCGAATTTTACGTAGAAATGAGATTTTTAGTATAATTTTTTCTCCTATTGCTTTCTGGCCCCACATTCTCAAGGGAGTCCTGGAACCCAAGCTAGTGACAGTGAATGGCAGATGTAGGATCACTATGACTATAACACTCTCCTAGGCTGTCTCCTACCCAACCCACAAAACCTATAGGTGAAATTAAGTTGAAGTAGAAGTAGGTCACTTCCTGAGGCTACTTCCTCCCGCTTCATTAGTCACAGGAATATATACTCTCAGTACCCTGGGCTCAAAGACTCAGTCTGGTTCTCTTCTTCTAGGAAACGAGAGCAGCCAGACCCTACCACAAAGGAGCAACACACCATTTGGCCCACTCCTCACCGAGAAAACAGCCCCAACCTAGATGTTTACAATGTCATCAGAAAGCAAAGTGAAGCCGATTTAGCTGAGCCCCGGCCAGACCTGAAGAACAGCTCATTTCGGGTGTGTTCTGGTGAAGCCACTCCCGACGATGACGATGTAACTTGTGACTACGGTAACATGGCTGTGAACCCTTCAGAAAGTGGGTTTATGACTCTGGCAAGTATGGAGAGTGGATTTGTGACCAATGACATTTATGAGTTCTCCCCTGGCAGAATGGGGAGGAGCAAGGAGAGTGGCTGGGTAGAAAATGAAATATATTACTGAGACATATGGGGGAAACTGGCAAAAATGAGAAAAGAGAAGCAAAAGCAACCTATTTCTCACAAGGAAAATGTTCAGAAAGTTGATGAAAATGCTCAGATCTGGTCTTAGGATAAACACAGAAGCTCCACAAGTTCCTACTGGGTCTCCAAGTTCTGGTTGTATCCCTTACTCCAGGGCCTCACCCAGCTCAGCCTGTGAGAAGGCACCTTGCCCCGGGGCTGCCATACCGCAGACCCTCAGCATCCTTCAGCCAGATCGTCAAGGGCTGGCACTTTCAATGGTCAGGATGAAGGTGTGACCGAGGAGCTTAGAAAGCCCACCTCTAGGTTCTGTTCTCCTTGCTCTCTACACCAGCAGCACATGTAATCACAAAAAGGCAGAGACTGAGGGATCTTCTCAAGGCCTGGGTATGGAAGCCCCAAGCTGATCTGCACATCAACAATTCTCATATCTGCCCCCCACCCCACATAAAATCCAATAAAAAGCAGGAAGCAGAATGTTAGTCAGTGTGTGTCTACAGTCCTTCCTCTGCATGTAGCCTCAGGGGACTTTTTTTATTTTTTTTATTCTCCTGACATCTAAACTTGAAAAAACCCAACTTGGAAATCCTTTAGTAAGTAAAAATGAAGTCCGTGTTTGCTTCAGCGTTCCTTGTTCTCCTGGCTCAGACAGTCTGTGTTTCTGGGGATGGGGGGAGAGGGGGGAGCAGCAGCACTGGAGACTGACTGTGTAGGCAGAAAGACTGGTGAAAGAAGCAGACATAATAAAGAGAAGAGGCAGGCTCCTCACCACAGAGAAGGCAGTCACAGGCATCAGAGGGAGAAATCTGGAATAGACCCTATTGTGTTCGACTCAAAGAGAAAACAGTGGTGTCACTTTGGGGCTTTCCATATTGGGGACACATACAGATACACATATTCTCCACTAAAGTGAGCCAGGACTCCGTGAAGTTGGACAACTCCAGGACAAATGCAGAAAAAAAAATGAGTTACTTGAGTAATGAAAAGTACCCAAACATAGGTAGAATTAACAGGTCTATTGTTCTACAGGAACAGCAGTGGCCTGCACAACACAATAGCTTATCACATAATGATAAATAACTACAAGAAAGGAGTTCAAGGGCAGCAAACACAAAGTCATGATAAGGCTATGAGGATATGTATTGCCCTGGTTAATCAGTACACATTGTATGTATGCAGATAAGTCACACTACTGTTAAAATTTTTATATTTAAAGAGATTGGGAATGAGAGTGGTCATTTGGAAAACTACACCACCACCAAGGAAGAATGAGTGGGAATCTGCAGATTACAGAATTCAGTTTATTATGGCCCTCCTTTGGTAACATGTGGGGTAATCTGAATATCAAAATCATTACCAGTAAAAGCAACAAGAGAGTGTGACCATTAGATAAAACAAATAAATTGATGTGTTCTGATACAAAATAAATGAATAAACAAACTTTGATGAGGAACGAGATATTTACATGGTTTCAAGTCCCTCACCCACAAAATCGTCATTAATTACAAAAGTGTCACAACGGGCCAACCCCACCTCCGTTAACTGATCAATGTGAACTTGTCAATAATGCAGTGTGCCGAGAGTAGAGAGCGCACTGTGTGCAGCGAGAACACAGCATCTCATCTGTGCTTTCCAGTCTAAGCGGACAAGCTGATCACAAGGAAGCCTTACTCACAAACAAGTTATCAGACAACCTGCGAAATAACTGGACTGCAAACTTGAAGCCTGACGATAGTGAAAGCGACAGCAAGCCGGGAAGCTGCGGTTAGAGGGCAGTGAGAGAGGAGACAGCCCAAAGCACTGCTGGATCCGGAAACAGATCCCTTCTTCCCTGCAAAGGAAAACATGGGAACACACTTGCATGAAGCCGGAGGAGTAAATGGCAATCACGTGTTAGTGCTAATTTCCTGATTTTTATGCTGCGCTGAGGATATGTCCTGACAGGGGGAATGTCATTGTCGAAAATTAAAGTAATAAAGGGTGAAGGACCACAGGTTGACAACTCTCTCTCTCTCATGAGTTTTGGGGATGGAGGAATGCTCTGTGCACTGTACTTGCTGTGTCTCCTCTTGGTTAGAAATTATTTAAGGAAAAGCACTTACGAATGTCAGCACTATAATTATTGATTACATTACTTCCATGGTGCCGTCCATGTATCTGAGCTCAGCACACATGCTGTGGCTCAGAGCATCTCACAGTCTTTGATCCAAGACAAAACCAAATGAAGCTCTGACAGCCATCATCAGAACCCAGGTTCTGGCCCGTCGCACAGATGGCCCTCCTTAAAGGAAGCAGGGAGCTGTAATGAAGCACCTTGACCCACCCTGTCAATTTAGAGACTCCTTTTCTCCAAGATTCCTTCTCTCCCATTTGGAAATGAAAATAAGTTGTGTGATCTAGAATAAATAAACATTAAGGTGTCTTTCAACTCTAAAATTATTTTATTTCAAAATGATATTTTTCCTAACTTACTGAATATAAGACAGCCTTCTGAACTTGTAGTAAGAACATGCATAATGGCAGAGACAGATACAAATATGAGGTTATGGGGACTTGCACCCTAAGAGGTGAAACCAATTCTGTATAGACCTTTGTTTCTTTCTAACGAAGATTAGTAAATGGTTACTAACTGCTAAGTAATCTTAAGTTATCAGAGAGTCCTGAATTTGAAGATCAGAAAAGGTGACCGAAACGAGTTATCAGATCAAGGACATTAGGAGAAACAGTCTCCCAAAATATAGTAAGGGCAATTAAAAGTTTCCTAAAAAAAATTGAATAATAACCTGAATAAGTACTTGAACATTTTCTAGCACTTAAACATTCTAATCAGAAAATTATTCTACATTAAGGAGCTAACGTTAGGACTGTACTGTAAATGTCTGTCCTCACAAGTCCAAATAGACTTATAACTGCTTGGCTGCAGTTGTAGGAAAAGTCAGTACACTAAGGACCTTGCCAGAAAACTGGGGGCAGCTTTAATTTTTTATACCACTAGGTGGCAGCATTAAGATGCCATAGAAATTTTGCCCACTACTAATCTTCAGTTTGTGTCAAATTCCTCCATCTAAAGCGAGAAGAGGGTCGGGTAAGGATAGAAGGTGAGGTAACACAGTAAAACAAAGTCGATAAGAACGTGGGCTCTGGGGTCAGGTGTCTAGGCTGCCAGTCTTCCTTCTGCCGCTCACTAGCTGTGCCATCTTAAATAAACTGCCTCAACATTGAAGCCTCCATTTCTCCATCTCTAAAGTAAGGATAATAGGGTCTGAGGTGATTATTCAGCCTGCGAAGTACTCGCCATACAAGCATGAGTTCAGATCACAGGCACCCACATAAAAATCAGGACCTAGAATGCTCCCTATTACAGGGAGACAGAGACAGGGTGATCCCCGGGGTTCACTGGCCAGCCAGACTAGCTGAACCAGCTCCAGGCTCAGCCAGAGACCTTGTCTCAAAAAATTAAGGTGGAGATCAATAGAAGAAGACATTCAACTTCAAGCTCTGGCTTCTACACAAGTACACAGGAGCACATACATAAACACAGACACACAAGGTGCACTTGTATATCTTAAGGGTTGGTTTGTGCATCGCTCTTAAGTTCCTCACATATTGAAAGTCCTAACCCATTTAAGAGGCCCCTAGAAGTGGGGAGGAGGACATGAAGTCCCACTCCTCGCCGAGGAGCTCTTGGCACTTGATGGCTGCTTTGAGAAGGAGATTCAGTTTCTTAACATTTAACAATGTGACTCCTAGTAGATTAACCACTCTTTAGAGCAGGGCCCACGCCCAAGGGTATTTGGGCTACATACATTGGAATCAACAGGTCTAGTGTGGTAGATCCAAAAGGAGATGGGGGGGGGGAGAATACAATCAAAATACATTATATGAAATTCTTTAAAAACTAAAAAAAATTTAAAAAATAATAATAATTATCTAAGTACATAAAAGAAACATCTTTTAAGAGGCACTGAAGGTCTTAGTTGAGAGGGGGATCATTAAGATAGCTCACTAATTCCAATGGCTAACATCGTCATACAAAGGGCCATTTGGAAATGGCTGTGTGCATGAGAAGAACATGATGAGATGGTGAAGGCAAAGCAAAGGGATGCTTCTACAAGGAATACCAAAGATTGCTAACTAACCACCAGAAACCAGGTGACAGTTATGCATAAGTGTGTCCTTTGCAACTATCGGAAGGAACCAAACCTGCCATTGCCTTGATCCTGAACTTCTAAACTCCAAAATTGTGAGAGAGAAAAAAATATATTTCTTTTGCTCAATCCATACCCAGGCTGTGATATTTGCTTCTGGCAGTCTAAACCACTAAGATAGCACATGATACGAGCTCATACCAGCCCTGTACACCTTTACTTGCACAAGACAATACAGTTTTTTCTTAACTGCTATAAACATTTTACCCTACACCACACACCTCTGGCTGTGCCAGCCTAGCCTTAACCCCCAAGGCAATGCTTAGGCAGAGTAAATACGCTGTGCTTGAATAAGCACAGCTACACAACGCTCCAAATCCTCCTTCCTGTTAGTCACACTACCGGGCTGTCGGGCTGTCGGCAGCGGTGTGGATTCAGAGCTTCCTGCTCTGTGTGCACGGTACAGAGACTGTGAGGGAGTGTTACCTCCCAGGGTGGCCTCAAATGCTCAAAGGGTCCATACAAAATGCCTCAGGGACAGACACCACCCTTAGCTCACAGAAGAGAAAGAAAAAGAGAGAGAGAGCACAGGAACACATTAGCCCCTGGTTAGAACTTGGACTAAAAGGAATCATTAGTGTGTTATCCTCGACTAAGTCTCGACTTGAATGGAATTTATCAGAAAAAAAAAAAGACATGTCAAAACAATTGGGGAAAGCTGAACATAGAATAACAAAATTAAACATTTACTTATTTTCCCACTAAGAGCGGTGTTTTGTTTAAAGAAAAGATCTTACTGGCTAACGGTCTATCTAGGGGCTGGTGAGATAGTCCAGTGGGCAAAGGTGCTTCCTGCACAAGCCTTACCACATGAGTTGCTTGATCCCTGGAAGCTGCATGAAAGTGGAAGGAGAGAACCAACCCCACTAAGTTGTCTTTTGACCTCTACACACGTGTCATGGTATGGGAGCCTATACACACACACACACACACACACACACACACACACACACACACATCATTTGTGCACACACACATACACAGAGAGGCAATTATTATTTACTTACTTTTTAAATTTTAAACATCTGAAGGATGCATATGGTAAAATGATTCAATTTTTGACATATCTTTTAAAACATGCTAGCAAGAACAATGACAGGCATAGGAGTGAGGCAGGACCAGAGGACTGGTGACCGTTCCGCAGAATAACAGGTACACGGTGGTTCCTTGTATTAATCTCCTGGCACTTACGTGCTTGAGAGTTTCCATTAGAGTGAGTGTGTGGATGTCATGAAAGTAGAATAAGAACCGAGGGGAGCAGAAGATCTTCCAGGGGCAGTAGTAGCAAGAGAGGGTGATAGAATATATATGATACGACATGACAGCATAAGGAGAGACTATTTGTGGGGGGAGAAAAGGACCAACAAGAGAGGCCGAAGAGAAGGTAGTAGCAGATGCAAAAGAACAAAGTATAAAGAAATA